TCATTTTTATGGTAGGTAGGTAGTAGTAACTTTTTACGAAGTGTTGGAAACGAAGTAAGTTTTGTTGACTTAATACACCGTGATACACTTTACACCTTCACTGAATAACGTTTGCACATAGAAATAACTAGTATTACTTCAGTTACGATTACTTTTTATGTCGAATTTGTAGGATTTAGTATTTATTTACATTACATAGTTGTTAAGCAAACTGTCGCCTGCGTTGCCTTACTCAAAGTTATCGGGGAATATTCGCAGGACATGAATCATAGGCGTTACAAGCGTGAAATAGAATTTTAGAAATACTCCTCCGTAGCTCGGAGCCACCGGCTCGGAACGATAAATTAGCGACGGAGTCGGAACGAAGTACTAGCAATGTTATTAGTATTTGGCTTAGCTCAGTATATTAAACGAGACTTAATACGATTCTCGATATCGTGGTGTACATACGCTATTCTCTGGCCTTTTGTGCTGCATTTGACGCAGAGGCGAGGAGAGTGTGTTTTTAATATATAATTTATTTGAATCCACTACCCGACGGCGGTTTCTTAATGTCAGCGACTGTGTTAGCATGGCCTTTACTGTCAAGGAATTGAGGTTCGAATTCGGGAAACGTAATAAACGGTTGCACCTTTCAACGTGTATTTCTATTAATGACTATGACGATGGACAATATACGCGATGTTATAATTAGCCAGTCGGTAATTACCAGCACCAATGAATCCGCCGATTGGAGAGGTGAAATTGCGTGTTCACCGAAAATTCGTCATTATTTGCTTCTATTGACTGTAATGGACCAAAAATAAAGGCCGTAAATAAAATATTATCGCCCAATTCGGCCGCACCTCGTTCGTTAATATTTCGTACCTCGTTCGTGTTGTTTCATCGAAATGTGGCTACGGAAACCCACAAATTATTTTAAGTGCTTCGTTTAATTTGGTTAATTATTTTGTAGCTTCTATACGGTTTGATATACGCACTGACTTCGTGCTGTGACTCGAACGCGTAGGCGGTCCATATTAGTCTCAAAACTAACTAACTCGGATCCAACTCGACGCGTGCGTCCGGCGCAAACATAAACAAAGCCGTATAAACGAAAAGTGAGAAAATAGGAGAAACAAAGGGCGTCGGAGTGTTAGCTCTGAAGCGGCCATGAATAATCCGCCGTCACGGGCACGCGAGCTGCCCAATTAAAAACGCGCTCTTTCCACGATTTTTAGCTTAGAATATTGTATAATAAGCCGATAAAATACCCCACTTAACGCCTCCGAGGGCCGTCGGCTATGAAATATGCAGCTCTCTCTCATTACAGTTAGTAGAAATTAAATGCATAAGCCTTCGCTTTAGCCGAGCTACGATATTCTGGAATCCGTTGAATTCCTCGCAATCACAAATTTATTGCGATAAAACCGAATTACCTCGACATTTATTTTACACCAGCACCGTTACTATATGTACACTTTAGAAATACTTAACCTAATCCAAATTACATTAAAAGTACTATTTGAACTCACTTTGTGCTTTCTTCAGTTGACTTGAGAGGTTTTTACAAAAGCTTTTTCCTATGTTCGCGGCGAAATTGGCCACTTAGATACAATTTCGCATCAATCTACAAAATGCAAAGAATAAAGATAACACTTTATACTTTATCTTCTGCTTTCTTGTGTCTATTTTGTGTGTGAACATCCGAACGGAGTCCTACTTATGTTGAGGATATCTTAAGATACATAGAGAGATATTTAATTTAACACATCGTCTATAGCTCCATAGCACCGCGCGTTATGAATATGTTCAATATTACTTCAAAACAAATTGGATATTTCTCGGATTCCCATACTATAAACGGTCTAAAAAGTTTGTTTGTGTAAGCGAGCGTAACCATTACCAGTTTAGTAAACATAACCCTCTTCCGAGATAACTATGTTTGGATTAATTGTTGTTCGAAGATAATATTATAAATAAACAAATGCCCTATTGCGCGTAACGGTCTTAAACAAGTGTGTGATTATTTACGCCTTGACGGGTTCTTTTTGGACGTTTCTTTCAAAACAAATTAAAAACATCGACAAGTATTGCAATAAAAGTTATTTAATCGATAATTTATGACTCGGTGTATGCGCGTTGATAAAACTATTGAGAAAATTTAATGAATCCTTACGACTTACTTACATTTCGACCGCGATTTCTTTCTCTTGGTAAAGTGACGTTAATTTAGTAATATAAAGATTTTCGATATAATTTCTAAGCTACTCTACTTCTTTTAAATAAAACACTTTAACGGTTTAAAACGCGATATATTAGTTAAACTTATTTGAAAATTATTTTTACGGCGAAGTTTTTTATTTTTAACTCCGCCATTTCTTTCTCTTGGTAAAGTGACGTTAATTTAGTAATATAAAGATTTTCGATATAATTTCTAAGCTACTCTACTTCTTTTAAATAAAACACTTTAACGGTTTAAAACGCGATATATTAGTTAAACTTATTTGAAAATTATTTTTACGGCGAAGTTTTTTATTTTTAACTTCGGCCCGACGGGCCGAAGTTAAAAATAAAAAACGTTTTAAACCGTTAAAGTGTTTTATTTTAATGTGTAGTACTCGCGTAAACTATAGACAGTATTTACTCTACTTCTACCACCGTCGCCGTACCGCATCGTTGCTCTGCCACTCGAGCGACTATTTTCCCTACTCGAAATACTGATTTTGTTCAACTTGTCACGATTCTTGTTTTCATGATCTTTTTCTCAGAATCTTCGGCCGGAAGGTTCGGAGATTAGTCTACATGCAGAAACATATTTAAAATATATAATTTGTTTAAGTTTAGTTATATATCATCCACACTCGTCACCATCCTTCGATTCGAAACAAATGTCGCTTTCAAGACACCGATCAGACTTAAAACATACGAAGCCTTATCGTGAAGTGCTAAATAAATAGCGGACAACATTATTTAGAAAAAAGGAAACCACATGTATTTTATTGTTTCTAAAAGGCGGGACGATGCGACGTCTGATAACCACATGTTTGCGAGGTCTCCATTAGCGAATTACTTATTTGGACCTGAATATTCCGGCTTTATTCCTGCAATATTAAAATCAAAAAACAAAAATGATTACATCTAAAAACAATATATTTTATAATATTTAAATCTTTCTATTTTCTTTTAATAGGATAAAAATGTTTATTTGTTAAAATATAACGGAGATCTATTAGTTAAACTTATTTGAAACTAATATATCCTTTTACCTTAATTTAAATGTGTATTACTCGCGTAAACTATAGACAATTTTATTTGTTAAATAGCGTATCTTGATTATACAGTTACAAAGGATTAGATATAGGTTAGAAAAAGTACGTTGACTATTTTTAAAAAGTGTTTTAACACACACAGGTATCACGGCTGCTGTAAAGCATCCGAAACGTCGGGCCGAAGTGAAAATAATTTTCAACTAAGTTTAACTAATATGTATAGCGTTTCAAACCGTTAAAGTATTTTATTTAAATGGGCATAGGTACCTTAATTAATCCCTAATAAAAAAATATATTATAAAACTTTAAAAAGCCCTAAAATTATCTTTTACAATGCCCGGAAAAATTCTATTGCCGGGGCCCAATGGCATCACGGCTGCTTGAGATCTAGTTAAACTATTTGTGCAGTTAACAAAACAAAATTTTCACATAAGTTCTAAGTCTGTATGAGAAAGCAATACAAATTAAACTGAAAAGTTTTTATATTATAATAAAATTAAGGAAAATGATTGCTATATTCTGTGTTTTTATAGCAAAAATTACCAATTAGCATTCAAATATTTTTTTTTTATTTAAAGGCAACATTAGAAAATTAATATTTATAACGTCTCATAAACAATTCGTGAGCAGAGACATCTGTCGGTTTCGCGCAGTACCGTCTTCAAGAAACCGCGTGGTGAAACATTTTTCACTCTGTTTGCAAAATGAAGAACTGAACCCTTTCCAATTTTACGTAGCTTTTGTGTATTTTGCTGTCACACAAATAATTACAATAGCTACCGGTTTGAACACATATGTAAATAAAAAAATATGAATACAAGCCACTCTTACTACTTTACTTTGTTAATTTCACGATAAAACTGATTTTTGAACTATTAACTGTCATGATGGAAAATAAAAGACAAGATGAATGTCAACAATGTGTGAACAATTCCAAGCTTAAAACCTCCGACGAAAAAGTTCAATGTATTTGTAAGCCTGAAACATTTCTCCGTAATTCACGTAAGCTAAAATTATAAATTACAAACATTCTGAATGTGTGTTTATTTATCCGCCCTTGTTTACGCACCCCGTGAGATTCGTTTTACTCGAGCGACCCGAGGCCTCTCACCGTGGGATAGAGCGATATAGGACAATATTCGTCGGTGTGCCGTTTCATACGATGACTAATTAGACCAGACAACGGCTATAGAGCGGAAGTGGGCCGCCTCGGTCCTACCCTTGGCTAGAGCTGCGCTCTCTCGGTCGGTGCCAAATCCTTTGCTCGCGTGCAATATTAATACTTGTAAATTATACCCGCGTTGTTTAAGTGGCAGGTTTTCTGCTGGCTTTTTGCGGCCGGAACGGAAGATTTATCCAAGTTTTGAAGCGCCGGCCTCTCACCTCTCGTTTATTTTAATATCATCGTGAATTTTTAAAACCCCACCCTCGAAACGAGGGGATAGATTTATTATATAGCTAGCCCTTTTGTAACTTTGATAATGATTATTGTTATTTCATACGCCTTTTTTAAATCTTTGTTTTCGTCCTTCCTTAGCACCATTTGTGTGGTTACTATTGCTCACCAAAATTACACATCCTTCTTAAAATATAGGACCTAGTTTTAGTTAACACTTCACGGGTTTTCGATCTCGTAAAGCACTAATAATACATAAACGAGTATACAGCTATATCTTTAGAGACCTGACTGAAGTAACCGAGATAAATATTTGGCGTTTAATTTAATTTAAACGAAATGTTCGTAAAGTTATGGTCGAAACGTCAGATCCGCTGGACGCAAGCGCAGCGGCGCCGGAAGCCGGAAGTTGTGGTGGCGCACACAATCTGGAGGCACTGGCAACACTGAATCAAGTGCAGGCTGGCTTTGTTTTATGTATGAGTGTAAAAGATAAATGGCCGCGTTTTCATTTAGTACTAACCCTTGCTAGTTGCGGTTGCCAGAGCTAAGTAGTCCTTAATTCCTGTTTGCTCAAGCTACTTTATTGGGGTTCCGTTTTATTTCGTTCGTCAAAACTACTTTTTTACATTTCTAAAAATTATTTGTGATCGTATTTTCAGTAAATGGAAGGACCTATGACGAAAAGAAACGTCCTGTTTATCTAATAAATGTAAAAAAGTCAAACAGAAAAAAATATGTAAGGGAAGCAATTTTTTTAATGTTTGAATCTGACCCGGTGACCGCAATATTGAGAAAACGCTTAATATACACTCGCAAGAATTATTTAATATGAAAATGTTCAAACGACTAGGATGAAATATTTTAGGTTCAGAACGTCGTTGCGGACGCATATTAGCTCATAACATCGTACTTACAGCATCTGCAGTTCGGACGGAGTCACTGCGACTTACTACAAAATGACAACATTTCCCGCTATTTAATATTCCTACAAAAGTTTCAAGAGTAGACTAGTATCTACTCTATTTCTTCTTTTTCTTAGAGTAAATATTCGCTTCTCTTTCACAGGGTCCTAACAGCGAAGCATTCACGCATAATAAGGCTGCAATAATTTTATTTCAAGATTACGTTTAAATCAGAAGCACTGTAATTCACTTTTTGTCTTGTTTTTCTGGCTTCTTCTCGTTGTAACCTTCGTGAAAGTTCTTCATATAACTCCAGGGCGATTCTATTTGAAACCTTCTAAACTCCTGCGCATATTCGACCGGTTCGTAGACGAGCTTCTTCAGTTCGTCGTCGTAACGAACTTCGACGTACCCGGTGAGAGGAAAGTCCTTTCGCAAAGGATGTCCTTCGAAGCCATAGTCGGTGAGGATTCGCCTCAGATCCGGGTGGTTCACGAAGATAATGCCGAACATGTCGTAGATTTCTCTCTCTAACCAGTTCACGCCGCTCCACAGAGAGCACGTGGATTCCAAAGGAGTCAATTCGTCGGTGTAGGTCTTGACTCTGACGAACTCGCCGAATCTCAAACTCAAGATGGTGTAGGCGACTTCGAACCTGAACTCTCTGCTGGGCACATCGATGGCAGTGGCCGCGGACACTTGACCGAAGCACGCGTGTTGGTGGAGTTTCAAGAAGCTCATGACCGGCAAAAACCCTTCCGGGGCTATCAGTATTTCCAGTTCGTCCGTGTGCTGCATCTGGATCTTTTGGACGTATTTGGGCAGACATGCCGCAACGTAGAGGCCGAATTCGTATAATTTCTGTCGGCGGTCGTTGTCATGTTTCCTGAGCGTGCGACTCTCGTATTCAATGGGTTCCAGACAAAACGGATTACCGATCTGTACGTCCCCTTCGGTTTGCTCGAAATGGCGATTGCTCGAATGAAATTTGCGTTTCAAGAGCGCTTTAGAAACTTGAGTTAATAGTGGGAAGAATTTCTTCATTTTAAGCTTCGACGATGTCATCAATGACACCATATGACGTGTATTTTACTCTTAGTAGATATATAAAAAGGTTGAATAATAATTGTGCTTAATTAAAAGAAAATATCCCGCAACTATTCAATCTAAAAAAACAAATTTGAGAAAAAAATATCTTGTAGTAAATTGATAGTGTTTCATATAATTTAGATTTGAAACGGTAAGTTTAAAGTAAAACATTACTCGATCATTTTGCCTCTAGGAGGAAGCGTTGGTTCGGACAACAACAGTAGGTGAAGATATTCTATTATTCCTACCTATTCCTATTAAGACAACATACTTGCTAGTGAAAAAATTGTGTGGGATAAAATATTTTTATCGTATTTGTTATTATAGTATTAATAGGCACGAAGCGTTCACGTCAAACATCTCTACCGTTTAAGAAATTTCAGGTTAGCTATAATTTAGTTTCAATATTGGCCGCGTATTTTAATTCAACATTATATTTATAGGAATATAGGTTATTGTACCGCACATCTACTTTCCTTTGGGGGAGTTGGGTACAAAGCGTAGACGGAACGAACAGGTTACAAGGAACAAGGCTTTACTCTTCGCATGGAGTTTTCCAGCGGAAGTTTCGACACGTGTCCCACAACATCCGCATCGCTCGGTACCTATATTTTGGGGACGCAATTTTCAAGTTCGAGGATTTCTTTAGGAAAGTTTATTTTAAGGCCCCTATGAATTCGCAATCCTTATGCTAACAGATGACGCCCCTTTTACTGTTCAATTAATAACTTCTGAAGTGGGCGCCATAGAAGCAACTAATTTGATCTCCCGTTTTAGCCTTTAAAAAGTTAATAGGTCATTCGAAGTGACTCGCAAAAAACACCACTTAGGAAATTGATTTTAACCTTATTGCCCATTAGCGCGGTTTAATCGGTGTTATATTAAAAGTTAACGATTTCATCTCTTATAATTAATTAATAGTTAATTTCGCCTAAAACAGGGTTTAGTGCCGTTTTCAAAGTGTAGTCACAGTAGTCCCGAGTATTAATATGAAGGCGATGTGCCGTTCGCCGATTCCTATAGACATCTGCGTAAGAATAACGGCGGGAGAGCGCGTCGAATGAACAATCGGCTGCAGTACGCAGCGCAGCCTCAACGCCGGCCGCACGCTCTTCGGGCGGCCCCAACTTATCACGCGTAACTTACTTCGCGACTCGACCAGTGCTTCGCGATGCTCACAACGGAGACCTCGAGGGGAACATCGTAAGGGTGAGTCGGAGTATTCGTGTCCATTCTTCTGGTTCTGGGGCGCTTTCGTGTGTAAAATAAGGCGCTCGTTTATTTTTCCCGCGCTGAACTTTTTGCGTCATTACTTTCCCGACGATTTCTTTAAATGTTGGGGCTGCGTTATTATTATGAATATTTTATTTGGGCGTTGCCATTATTGAGTTATAACTGCGTCGATTTGATACGGTAATCTACATAAGTAGCTATAATATGAATAATTGGGTATTCTTTACTAAATAATCATTTGAGCTTAAAAAGTGACTGCACGTAAAAGTATATGTTGTACGAGATAATAATATTTACGTAATTGTTACTCGTGCACTTTGTATCTGCGCAGATGCAGTTTATATAAATAGCATTTTGAGATAAATTATTATCAGAACGTAGCTTTGAATCATAGGTCGATGGAAAGGAATAGATTATTACTCATATTATGTTCATGGAAATACCTATTATATATAATATGAGGGACTTTGTCGGGTATAAAACAATATATTATGTAAAAATAACTAACATATAAAAACGAATATACACCGATTCTTATACTATGTTCATATGGAAGCGAAACGTAAACGTCCGCTCGGCTAAATGAGGAGTTTCCGAAAAGTTCTACTACATTTTCGCAAAATTCATAAAGAAACAGTAAAAGCTTACTCGGTTAAAGGTTATGATTTGCCTTTAATTAAGTTAACGAAACGCCAATATTTACTTCCGGTTGGAATTTAAGAGGTTTTCTGTTAATTATATGAAATGGTGCCGGCAGCTTCGGCTAGAGCTGAGAAGTGTCGAAACAATTAGACCACCCGACTTCACCGTGGCTTTACGGCTGCGCCCGGAGCGGGCTCAATGCGTACGTTGTCGATAGCCTTAGCTCAATTTCGTTAAGCACTTAATTAAACATATTCGCGATTTTTGCAGTCAGCATATAGTAATTACAAAAACGATTGATACATTTAAGCGTAGACCTATATTGACGGTTGGAACTTCTCCTAGCTTCGCTTGCGTTTTCTGAATATGCCACAAACGCAGATAATCCACTATTAATTGTTTCACCCAATTGCAGCTCACGTAAATATATAAATATAAAGTGGTATTTTTGACGTTATTAAGAAAGTTTATTTTGTTTGTTCATTATGAGTATAATAGTCGAACGTACGTGAAAGCGAGTAGATCTCAAAACACACTCTGCATACAGTGCCTATCTCCGAGTTATTAGATACGTCGACGCTTTTTCAATGGAGACCGTTACCAGTTCCAATATGTTCGTCGAATGTCACTTCGATAGGGTTATGTCGCGAATTTTTCTCGAGCATTATCGCGGCGAAGCAGTTACCGGTGCGCGATCGCATCCTCCGACCCTCGGCGTGCCTCGCTGATGGCCACATACGCGAACACATTGAACCGAATGGCGGGAAAAACGTGTCCACAAATAGTTTCGTGTGTACATTTCTTCGTACACAACGTAATTGCTATTCTCGCAAATAACCGCGCTCTGCTTATGTTCATAGTGGCGATCGATGGACGGACATTTTTATGTTGGGAATGTTTCTTTGCCGATGCCGATTGTCGGTTTGATAAGAGCTGCCGCATTGTGTTTTGCCTTTTTTAGATTCTCTTGGGCAGTAATGAGTCGTAGCCATGTGCAGTTACGTGGGTGGAAACGTTCAGGGATCCCGATGGTTTCTCTACGTGTTCGCTGTCATTATGCTGGGGTTGGACTCTAAGTTAGCCGGTAAACACTTTGGTGCATACATATATATATACTATAAAATATATAAGTACACGTATTGCGCGAATGTTGGTACTTTTACGTTTATTTCAGGAGAAGCGTTTCAACCCGAATTCGTCGAACCCATCGGTAATCTGAGTGTGCCTATTGGACGCGACGCAACTTTTCGATGTTTAGTTCAAAATTTAGGGGGCTACAGGGTAAGCATACAACATAACAAAGTTAACAATAATAAAATACTATTGTCGCATCGAGGAACAGTAATAATGGGAGAAACTTTTGCAGGTGGGTTGGGTAAAAGCGGATACGAAGGCGATACAAGCGATTCACGTTCACGTTATCACCAACAACCACAGAGTGGGAGTGTCCCACGACGGGCAGACCGTATGGAATTTGCACATTAGAAATGTCCAAGAGGACGACCGCGGACAATATATGTGCCAGATTAATACCGACCCCATGAAAAGCCAGGTGAATATACCACGTCAGATTTCACCTTTAGACTTTACCGAGTTGGCTCCAGCAGGCCAAGCGTTTATTTTCATTGAAATGAATAAACACATATTCATGGAAATAACACACATTTTATAAAGAATCAGGTATCGAATATAATTGATTATGATTTTACGAACAAAAAGTACACTCGGCCTAGGTTTTCTTTAGTTAGACGTTAATGCACTCCATTCCGTTTTATCCACGATCGATTCTTCTGAAAGTCTATCCTTTGGGTTTTTCGCAGTCTTCTCGTTCCTCCCGTAGCCCCGTATTCGCACTTGGCGGTAAAGAAACTCTCGAGTCATGATTTCAGGAACGAACATGTTTCTGCTTCTGAACAAAATCATATCTTGCGGGCCCCAATTCTCTCTCGGAATAAACAACCCCCATAAATTGGAAGTGTCGTAATGACATTTTACAACCGAACACATTCCTATAAAAACAATTAAAAAGTAAAGCCCTATTAATATATAGGTCACAAGTAAATCGAAACGAAGCGATAAGGATTCTATAATAAAGGTGTTCTCGAAATCTTTTCGTAGAATTCTTTTTACTTTTATGAAGAGCATGCAGGCTAGAAAAATAGGATTCAACGTCCATCCCAATCTCCAGAAGAAACTAGCTTTTACCCCGATCATAAAAATGATGTCTATGCTATGTTTCTTGTAACCATAAATCCAATACAATGCGAAAGAAAAGAAAAAGCTACTTATTAGCTGTATTATCTCAGTAGCGTCCGCGATGGAGCCCGCTAAGTCGGAACAATAAAACGGACCCGAAACGGCACATAACAGCGCTATTAATCCAAGCAAACTACATTTGCAATACCTTTGCACGATCCTGAATTCATAATAAATAAGTTCATACAAAAATAAAATCAATATCCACAAATTTACAAAAAGGCAGAGAAAAATCAAACTGAACCATAGGAATCCCCACGCGGACGCACTGTCGAAATAACTTAAAATTTCCGAGACCGAAGCGAACGGCGTGAAGAACACGCTCTCGCCCATCTCTAAAACGTTTTCCTCTTCGCCGTGGTAATACGACATAGTTTTAATTCCACTGAAAATAATAAGACCTAGGAGCAGCGTAACGAAAACGGAAAACAGAGAAATAGTAACGGAAGTCATAGTGGCCGGGCTGCGGAATGAAACGTCGCGGGATAAAAAGCCAATAACTCCACATCCCGTTCCGCATGAAAGAACACCGCGCGTGAACGTGTAAAAACAATGTTTGTAGTTGAATTCGCTCCAGTTCATGGCTATTTTGGTCGCGTACCAAGTGCCGCTCGACGACAACGCAACGCAGAACAGCACCAACACCCCGAGACAGACGTAACTCGCCAGGGCCCTCAGCGCGACCTTAATGCACTTCTCTACTTTCAAAGACAGAGCGAAACAAGCCGCGCCCGAGGTGCAACTGGCGATTAGCATTTTCCAAACGCGAACGCAGGTTCTCATCAACGTATTGTTGTCGCCGATCTCGCGATCAAAGAAGCAGCCGCTGGCGGTTTTCATTCCGCAGTCGTCGTCGAACAGGTTCTGCGCCTCTAAGCAATGTTGGAATATCGATACGTTTACGCGTTTCACCATGCACTTCGTTTCTCTGAATTCGTCGCAGGAGAACCACGGCGGTGGATCCAGGACGGCGAAAAACGTGTACTCCAGGTACCAAGACGTAGCGACCGTCAAGTAGACGGCCTTCAGCGCGGCTAGATATATAGTTCCGTAGCCGACGCTTCGAAACAGGGGGAAAAAGTTCCACATTGTGATCACGTTACAGTTAGTGTACTGAGCAACACAAACTTCCGAATAAATTAACGGGACTCCTATGACGACAGCCGCGACGGCGTGGAGTAAGCCGTGGACGTAGAAACCGTTGTGGGACATGTCGACGGGGGCGAACACGAGAGCCACTTCGTTCATCATCCACGCCCACAACAGCAGTTTATAAGTGCCGTAAGTCCGCCAACGGCTTTTAATATCCGGGGAACACTTGGCATTCATCGCGTCCTATGCTAAGCTAGGTCGCCGGACCGCCTAGATTTTACGGAGTTCGAGATAACGGGTGTCACTCAAACGTTGCCAGCGATCGAAAACGACGAAGCGATCGCATTACTGGCCACAGATAAAGTGAATTAAAGCACGGTCGGGTGGCGAGCGAGCGTCGCAGCGGGTAATGATTCGTGTGTAGTTCTCCTAAATTATTGCGCTGCGTTGTAATTTATACTCGGGTCTGATAACGGCATAAATCCTCGGCGGCGACAGTGCAGCTGCAGGCTTCGACGGCGACGTCGACGCGGCATGACGCCACTTGATGCAATGTGTTACAAAAAGTATTCGAAATGGAGTCCACTAATTTATAGCGCTCTTCTTGATCGTTTTGCGAGCCGTATTTGCGACGCAGAGCCCGAAGTTTGTTGTTACGAAGCTAGTTTACGTTCACGCTACACGTATAGTTTTCATTTCATTGATTAAACTCAAACTCAAACCATTTATTTCACAAGACAGAGTAAATAACTAAAATATTAGCTTAAATAATTAACGTTTACAAAAAAAGAGAAAGAAGAAAAACCAAAAAATAGAAACTTGGACGAGTGCTTGTGAAATGGGGAGTAGAGGTTTGTTGTGTTTTTTTATAAACTTTGATTTCGTAAGTGAAGTGTTACTTTCAATCCAGATGGGGTACCTTGAAGTGGTCGTTCCACCTGATTTTATAGCCGAAGAGACTTCTGGCGACGTCATGGTTCCTGAAGGTGGAATGGCGACTTTATCTTGTCGAGCCCGAGGCATCCCGTCACCTCGTGTGATGTGGCGAAGAGAGGATGGATCGGACATAGTTATTCGTTTTGCAAACGGCAGCAAAAGTAAAAGTAAGATAAGTAAACTATGCTATGTTTACATTATGGTGCCATAATAAAGTCACTCAATACAGCAATCTCACCAATAAGAGGATAAAGATGTCGGCTTTTCGTTCATATTAGGTACACAATATTACAAGTGTAGGGTTAATCTTACTTTCTTCCCCAGTTGCCGTATACGAAGATGAAGTTCTAACTCTGAACAAGATTTCTCGCTCAGATATGGGGGCGTACCTTTGCATCGCTAGTAACGGAGTGCCACCGTCTGTTAGCAAGAGAATGCTCGTGAAAGTTCATTGTGAGTGTATCCCGTGTATTTATTTTAATGTGTATTAAAACCTATCGTACCCTACATATGTGAATTGGCATCGTCCATACGTTAGAAGCACTTTTATAGTGAATTAGTTTTTGCAAAACTTAACATCCGAAGTCAACACAGTGAACTGACTTTTTCTCTGAACTTTCGGAACATTTCATTCATATTTTTCACTCTTTGTTCATTGTTCTCCGAAATTTGCCAGAACTTCGGGAAAATTCAAGGGCTTCTTAACAGTAATTGTTTTATTTTGTCGTCGGTAAATAGTTTTGTTTTAATTATTTTTCGTCTCTCAGGCGTTTCTGTTCACAAAGACGACGACTTAAATGAATAATGGTCACAGTCCTGAATAAAAACAACATGTTGTTATTTGTAGCACCCTTTGAACATATTAAACTGCTCAAAGTGTTGTTGAACAGGTAACTAAACGAACCAAGTGAGTGGGAACTGAATTCATGAACGTTCTATGTGCTGTCCCTTGCAGTTCACCCTGTAATCCAAGTACCAAATCAGTTGGTCGGTGCACCGCTCGGAACTGACGTCACTCTCGAATGCTACGTGGAGTCTTCGCCTAAATCTATTAATTACTGGGTCAGAGACTCAAGTAAGTATTCAAATATTTATAAATTTTACATTTTCTAAGATATACGCAGGTACAGATATTATCTACCATCGAACCGCGAGCCTGCGATAGGTCAACGCGGTTCTACGAAGCCAACCGTTACATTGTATTAAATGTAACTAATATTTTTTATGTTGAATTTGTAATTTAACAAATGCCTCTTCGGGAACCTAATTATTCTGAGAAGTTCAAGAAAAATCACACCGCTAAATGCTCGTAAGAAGCCCCTTTCATGTCCAAAGACTTAATTAATGCTAGCTTATTTTGCCTTTGGGAGTCCATCACTTGGTAACCATGGCGACGACCTCTATTATTACTAACTCGAGGTGATTGCAACTTTATGCCCTTAATTCATATTTTTTCATTCATAACTCCGCCTTAAATAGATTTAATTAAGGAATTGCTACATTCGCGTTCTGTTCGGAATCGGTGTAGTTTTTTGGCAAGCGACGAACTCGGGAGGGGCTCGGCTTGCAAGTAATGAGTTATTAGATTTAATTTACGGTGAAGACGTTCGAGTCTTAAGAAAAGTGACCTATTGGGGTAAGACGAGACAATGCTCGTTAGTTCCGCTCCAGTGGACCCAACAATGCTTCCATAATTTATACCTTAAGAGTGTCCTATATAGCTTTCGACGGTCGATTGTCTCAAATGAACCCGCTTCCTCAAAAGAGTGGCGTCTAATTTTACTAGGAACTTCTTTTCATTTGATTAGAAATGGCGGTGTCATGTAGTACAACGGCCGTTTTTATTTTCACAAAATGACGCTAGAACAATTGCATTCTACTCGGCCGACTAAAGTCGACGCATGAATAACAAACAAGCCTGTATTTGAAGCTTTCGAAGGCTACGCTCGCATTTTTTAAAAGAAAGTCTGGGATTCATAAGACACCGACACCCAAAAAGGCCTGACGAAGAAACTAGGGATGACTGGAGGAGAAGAATGTGTAAAATTGGAAGAAACACAAAAAGCATTTTGGGCATAAAGGGATGACAAACGCGTTGTATTGACCGAGTATTGTCCATCGCATCTTAATAAAATAGTATGAACGAGTTTCGGACGATCGCAGCGGCCGCGATCACGGGTAAGAAATGCTTATATGTAGTTGAAACTACGCCGACGCGTCTAGTAATCATAGCACTCGATGCTCGATTTTTTTATAACCACGTACAACTTTCAAGTATCTGCATCCAAACAGAAATTACTGAATATGCAGTACAGCGTTCGTACATTAGCTATGAATACTTAAATGACATTTGGAAGCCGGAGCCAAGTTTCGCCGTCAGATCAAGCACTCGCCAACTATTCAAGCTGTTCATTCGCTAAGTTTCCGTTCAACTGGACCGACGCGTTCGTATCGTGGCTCTATCGCCGTCGCTGCGAAGAAACAGTTATCGACTTCGTTTACTCGCCGTCTGTTCTCGGAACTCGACACCGATCATTTATAGCTTTGTTTAATAACTCATTGCTATGAACTACTCGTCTTGCGCGAACGTCGTCTGCCACTGTCGGTCACTGACAAATATTGACCTTCCCTAATGAAAGCTAGGTGGCGAAACGTACCCCTTCTATTTTATATTCCACAGACAATAGTATTTTGCGTCGAAATGTAGACTGTAAAATGCTGATAGTTCAATAATCAAGCCGGTCACGAAAGCTTCGGTCCGTAATCTCGGGTGCATAAAACGAGACTGTGTCCCAATAACATTCTGAAGGAGAAAAGTTTAGCACCGCGGAATCATAATAAAAGTTGTCGGGACCCACTCTGAAATATCCATTAGCACCTATTCGCCTGTAAAATAAGCCCACTAAAGTTACGTAATAAAATAATACAATCCGTACGATACTTTGGTCCCGTTACGGCGTATGTGTCAAGAAAATCTGTGCACGTAACCGACCCCAAATCATTCTATTACTTATTCACGAAATTGTGATATTTCAGTCGGTATTGTATAACATTTTTCTATGTTAATACGTTCCCGAACCCCACACATATTTATAATAATGCCACAATCAGAAATTCAAAAGTAAAACTTACACACATTCTTCTAGATAGATAATAAAATCGTGTTTATTATAAAATGTACGAACAAAATTGTTGCAGTGTAGTTCACGTTTCGTTCTAGTGAGCTATATGCATCGCCACCGAGCACAGATTACAAGCCTTACTTCATAATATTTCTTCGCGTAGCCGACGGCGGTTTCAGAAAGTTCTCAGCTCAGCAGTTGTAGCGTAAAATTTACGGGTTAATTTTCAATTGTACCGAGCTTACAGCTTACACTGATAAAAATATGAATAAAAGAAGGGTTCGAGTGGATGCGCTATTGTATGCGAGACCGACTAAATTAGTGAGTATTCTTGCACCGGCCCAGAAGTGTTGAAATGTATGCCTGCGGCGAATCTGAGGAATATCCGGGGCGATATGTTTCAGTGACAATACAAAATGACGGCACTTTAATGTGAAAGGCCAGCAGAGGGCCAGGTCCTCAAGGGGTTCGTTAGCCGGTCAAGTGTGACGCATTATTTTAACGGGGAACCATTTGTGTGACGATGACGATGGAGGGAGTTTGAGCACTTTCCGGATTTATTCTCTAACCCCCTAAAAACTTTCATCTACTTTTACGTGAAGCACCTTTCGACGTTGTCAAGTCATCAAAAACTAAATTAAATTAAATAATTTACAAATAACACAGACTCTAAATTAATATTTATTATGTGCTTATAAAAACGGAAAAACCTGCGTAAAACGAGTCTATAAATAACATCCTATACTAGCTATGTCAGCGACTTCGTCCGCGCAGAATAGTTATTTTGGGCATCCAATTTTGTTTTTGCAAACCTCCTCTTTTATCCTTATAAATTTAAACTGCTATCCGACATCAGACAGTTTTTTAGATCATTTTAAAATAAATCATTATTTGATAAATGTTTTCTGGTTATATGGAACCGTTTTCGCAGCGTACGCATCGGAAACCCACAGATATGTAAATTGTCGTTTTTTTTCACATTTCCCGCTGCTTCTTTGCTCCTATTGGTCAAAGCACGATGTTTTATAACCTTCCTCGATAAATGTTTTAACTAACACTAAAATAATTCTTCAATTCGAACCAGTAGTTCCTGAGATTAGCGCGTTCAAACAAAACAAACTTTTCAGCTTTATATTCATCTGTACTAAACAGATGAATAGTTATTTGCTGCAACGTAAAAAATATGTATACCTCTTTAATTTTCCAAAATATTCTATAACCCGACTATAATATAATTTTCATATTGTTGGAGTTTTCTTTTGGACAATTCTAAATAAAAATGTCAAGCGTCATATAGCTGCACTACATACGTATTATCAATGCGGTACATTTGGAAGCGTCATTTTCTCGTATTCCGTTAGGCGACACAGTTTACAAAACACTCGGGAGCTCGTTACAGTCATAACAACTTGAATGGCCGATACTTACCTCAACTATTGTTATTCACACCTACTAGAGTTGGAAGTTCTCTAGTCCTGGCCTGGACGCTTAGGTTTTATTTTGCGTCATAGAAACGACAGACTCGTTATTTAGAATATAAATATGCCGATAAAGGAGCACGTAAGTAGCCACGTAAGTCTACTTATTGGAACACATTAAGCTCCAAAGTTGTTTGCGATAATAATAGGCGCGGCGCGTAGTGAGCCGTCAATCAGAGCTTTGTTCTGCTGCGAACGCGCAGTGACTAGCGCTTTCCGCTCCGATCGAGAGGGCGCAGCGAACGAGGTTGTCATTTTCGTTTGTCATCAATCTACGTTAGGACCTCCGACATGTAAGTGTTAATTAAGCAGCCCCGCTCGGGCGTAATTAAGAGTGTTACAGTGTTATTTTAGACATTAATTGAGATGAAATTTCTTGTTGTTACGAAACGCACTCGTTTCGGGCCCGTTTTTGTTAAGTGATTTCGTTCGAAGGCCGCCCGAAGTTAACGCATCGCGAAGCCGAGAACATTGGAGAGTAAACAAACCGAAGTTTCGATCGAAATTAAGATTAGGCAAAACGTTTGCCGCTCTTATCGTTCCTTTAAACTTCGAAAGATAGGTCCTAACTTCAGATATGATAATCGAGGCATATTTGGATTCGAAGTCTCGTACCTATTGTCCTAAACGAAACGGGCCGATCGGCGCACGAGGTGGGGCTTTCAATCTTTTAAGTGAACTCGAGATCGGTTAAAGTATAAGAGTCCAAGTACGAAAGAAACGAGTCCTGCGTCCTAACCGGCGCTTCGCTTTATCATTTGCGGACAACGGACACTGGAGCTTACCGCGCTCTGAGACGTACGGAATTGTTCCGACGAATCTAGCAAATTGCAACAATTTGAGGTTTACATAAAAACATTGCCCGGCAATGTGGTGGAATTTAAAGTGACGTTTGCAAAGCAGAACAAATAGCACGGGGCGTTATATTATTGTATAATTCTTACATTTTTATATTATTATTCGCCTCGTATGGTACGCACCAAATCTCTCCTGTCTATCGATGCCTAAAATATTTTCAGTACATTATTATTAGGTGAAGTTCTTTTCCATCCAACATATGTCATAAAAGCGCACCTTCTCGCAGATGATATGGTCATATCGTCGAGCAAATATGAAGTGACGACAACGATGCTCAGTTCGTTCGAGAGTAGAATGACGCTCGTGGTCCGCCAGCTCGCCGATGCAGACCTGGGAGGCTACCGATGTATCGCGAAGAACTCTCTCGGGGAAGTCGATGGCACGATTCGGCTCTACGGTGAGTTCGACTCGGCGGTAAGACGATTCCATACTATCGCTTCGATGTAAACGACAAGAAGTCATTGTTCTATTTAAACATACTATGGAGGCGATAAACGTGTACGACATATAAATAAATTTATATTGAATAAACTATTATTAACATTAATTATTTAGTTTCTGAACATTATGTTCCTTCAATAATTTAGCGTCTTTGAAGATAGCGTGAAAACACAGCAAAATCGAAGACTATAATAAATGTTTTTGCGTCGTTTTACAATCTCCCCCGGTGTTTACTTAATCAACGAAAGAATTAGCAAATGGCCTAACAATGCATGTTTTGACTATATTAATCTTGTAACGATACGAGAAAACTCAGAATAATTTCTATCTCAAAGCGAACAAACGTAGGATACAAAACCGAATGACCCAAATAGGCAATCGTGTATAAATAAGGCATGCTTAAGACCCGCTTCAGGCATTTACGTATTTGACTCATTCGGATGCGATCTAAATAGTTTTCTTGTTACGTGAGAGGCGAACGATCCACACACAATCTATTCGAGCAGAGTTTTATAAGTTCATTCAAAGACAAAGCATAATTAAGAATTGAAATGAGAGGAATCAACTATTCCGCTGTCACATTGCACAGAGTCTACACAGAGATCTGTAAGCATGAATTGGCTTTCATTTCAGGGATAACGCGGCAACTGATGGCAAACTCTAGTCCTACGAGTCGTAACGAAGACTTCTCGACCCCAATTCAGGGACCAGATAACCAATTCGGATCGGCGGAAAGGTCTGACGATGAAGACGAAACGGCGACGGATACGTCGGATAGTTACAATTCTAACGATAATTATTCCTACAAAAATAAAACATTTTTAAATTCTACACCCGATCCTGAACGGCAGAATGTGAGCAATAAAGTTCGGAAAATTATAAGCGATCTAAAAGATGAAACCATGAACAGAAGTCGTTTGGATGCCGTCGTGAGAGCTGACTTGCTCATGTTGGCTGGATTCGTTTCATGTTTCAACTGGTCCATGTAGGATGCTATAAGTCGATTAAAAGTATTTTGAGGTCCATTTGGATTTGGATGTTAAACGACACCCTTTTCCGCCTCAAATCCTCAAAGCCCTTAACGGCTTATGTCATTGACACGGTAATACGATGTCCAATACCGATTTATTTAAATATATAACATTCTACAAAGAACAACAATGTTTTCAAAATCACTCAAATAAAGAGGTTACATTTGTATGTACATGTACGAATGTATGTTGAAGGAGTTTTTTTTTAAACATAGAGTTACAGGTAACTTAATTATTGAAGGCTGTAAATAAGATTAGGTACGTTAAATGTTTTATAAATATTAGACAAATAAATTATTGATGTTTAGAATGCTCTCTTAAAAGCGTGTAGGTTGCTTCGACGTTCTTTCGTATTAGTGCAAGAGTTGATTCGGCTATTACTCGTAGACAATATTATTATATACATATGTAACATACAGTGAAATGATATTTACAAAAGTGTACAAAAAGTAAAACATATAAATGAAATGTAATCTCATACATAATGTAATACAATCAGAATGTATAATAAATGTGAAGTGGTTCATCCCTGTATTTCCATGTGATTGAGAAAATTGTTTGATGAAATTACAGGGTCAGGAATAATTAGGCATGTGACGAGGTGAATAGGCGAGCGGCAACTTTCCGCAGCATTTGGCGCGCCCCGAAGTTTCCGCGGTAAGTCGGATTGCGGCGTCTTCGCTCATCGGCGTTATGCTAACGAGTTCATTATGACACGCATGTATTCAACAATGTATGCAAATTCAGTTCAGTTGTTCACAAACACGCCCTAAACTTTGATTTAGCTCGACGAATTGATTTTTAGATTTCGATAACAACGTTCGTAAGTTTTCAAGTATATTATGGATGTCTTAGATTTTGACGATTTGTTTCAATTTTACATTTCCCGATACAAGAAAAAGCAGTAGCCCTGAGTGGATCTCATTGGAGCACAATCCAAGTAAATCTGTTTTTATTTGCCATCTTAAAATTTAACATTTCGATAGTAGGCGAAAAATAAACCAATTAAATTGAAATCGACCGACTCAATTTTAGCAATTGTAGGCATAAAGTGACAAAAGGGCCTTCAGAAATGTAGTGCTTCAGCCGAGGGCGAGAATAGGTACTTGTATATGCATATATAAGTCAATCAATATGTCATATGTATGTTTAAAACGTCACAATAATATTAGACTATATTATATATTTTACATATATCAAAATATATTTAATTCGTTATGGAGATATGTCATTAAAGAAGTATTAGGTAACTAAACTGAAATCTTGCAGCCGGTGGCGACTGGTTCAAAAATATTTATAATATTATCTTTAAAAGGTAGGTTAAAAGTAACAAAATTCAAACAGTTGACATAATTTCAGTTTTGTGAGATATTTTAACCGTCAAACTGGCCGTCCAGTTTTTGCATTTTAGAAGCTTTTCTAGACGGCGACGATATAGCGTACTTTTTTATACTTCACAAACCTTAAGATTTAAATAGACACGAAACAGATCTAAAACTAAAAGTAGGTTTTGATTATTTCAAACACAACCTTAATCCACACAGAAAGCATGAACCCACCGAGAAAAGACTGGATAAGCAACAATCTAGTAACCTTATAATTTTGTATAAAATATTAACTTAAATGATCACCTAACGATATGCAGCCGTGAAACGAGTATTTGAAACACAGAATACGAGCACAAAGAGTAGTTAATAATTATAACGAAGCATTCGTAAGCTGTAGGAATAATCCTTGGAAATGTGGCAATTTATAAGTAAAATTTAAAATGCACTTAAAATAAATACAAGTCTTGGAAGAACGACTAATTTTAAAAGAGTCTGCGAATGTTAAAACTTTTTTTTCTTAAGTAGTCTACTCACAAAGATTCACCAAACAACAAACCACTCAATCATTCATAGCAAAGTCCGATCTGATAAAAATACACTATCTGTAATTGAACCCACGGACTAGATAAGAGTAGATGGATTCACTGTCAAAGCAGTCAACATTTTGTAAAGATCCGATAGCAGACAGTCTAGTTGCATGTCTTAGCGAGTCATTTAGAGAGGGACTTTTAAGCTGGAAGGTACCCTTCCAGCTTAAAAGTTTCAAAAGTATACCAATATTCAAATCGGGCAATAGAAAGGAACCATACACTTACAGTTTCAGTCCTACCTGTTGTCAAAAGTATGTGAAAAATTATTTCACACGGGCTTAAATAATTTTCTAACTTCAATAAAATTTCTAGCTAAAGAACAATATGGATTCAGAACTAAATCTAACACTTTAAAGGCAACTTTAGACCTTGCGACAAATATAAATCTTAAAGTACCCTAAATAAGACCTTTGATAATATGAAAATAAATTGAAAAAAATAACACAAACACACCGGAACAGCCGACAGTATTAAAATAATTCTACCGAGGACTTACTTTGGTAGCCCTTTTATAAAAATATTTTGTTTTTATAAAAAGGCTAAATTTTACAATTAACCCCAATTAAGAATACACTTGTAACCCATATGTTTCAAATTGTTCTTAAAAACTTACAAATTGTTACATTCTATAATTAGAAGCTAGCCTATATTATCAAGAATTATTTTCAAAATATTCTTCATTAATATATCTACTATCTACTCCATAATTTAAGTTGAACAAATATAAAATACTGTAATACTTTTTACCATGCATGTAACTGATGAAACGAATTTATAAAACTGTTTATTTATAGGAACCCTCTGTATTTTCTCAAAATCTTTATTTCTCAGATTACATGAATAATCTGAGAAATAAAGGTTCTTAAACCGTAAAGCAAAGTGTATGCTAGGCATTTGTTTCTATTAAATATAATGTTAGCAATAAAGCCAAGCCAAGCCAAGACTTACGAAAGCATTTAAGCATCGAAATACAAAAAGGAAGTTTGTATTTGTGAATCGTGTGTTACGCCCCTCAAACTAGAAAATAGGCGAAAACGTCGGCGAGAAAACAATACTAGCAAACGTAGGAACCGTAACGAGAAAATAATCAATCTCCCAAGTCCACTTGGAAGCAATCAACGGTCTGTTATTGCGTCTATCCAATCCGATAAAAGAGCCGATATATCAAAGACGTCCGAGGTTCAATTACAAACCGATGTGCTATCTTTTAGACGCAGTTATAGAAAAAAAGAGTTTCATTAAGACATCGTGCCATAACTCTACGTTGTCTTACCACTCACGCCGAAGACTCTTAAACAAACCGTGTGTTAAACGGATGCTACAGATCTTCTTTCTATCTATATTGCTATTATAAAGATGAAGGGTTTATTTGTTTGTTTGAACCCGCTAATCTCAGAAACTACTGGTTCGAACGTAAGTTGTCGAAAGCTTTGGGCTATAAATCATCACACTGTGATCAGTAGGAATGTAGAAACAGTAGGAAACGGGGAGATTTATTCACCTTTAAGAGTTTCAGTCGCGAGCGCTGCAAAAATGGTTACTATGGTTACCTAAAAATAAAAAAAAACCCACGATATCTTTTAAGATTGACTTGCAAGAACGGCGGGACGCGCGGGATTCGGAGGGGGTTTGCAAAATTTTGACGCTGATACAACTAGTATACTATATCCAGCTTCTTTTCAGAAGAAGCTATTTGAAACGTATCCGAGAGCAGGGATGCGAAGAGTGCAAGCTCATTGAATAACGTAGGTGCCGTATGTCGGAATATATTAACGCAATTACCTGCTAAAAGCCCCATCTCGTGCCCCGGGCGACGCTCAAAGCGATCCCGTCTATGTGCTGTACATTCGACGGAACTCCTTTTAACATGTGTAAATTCATTAAGAGAAACAAAATTCGAAGTCCGAATTATGAAACTTCACACTTCTCCGACGATCATAGAACGCGTCTCAATATCGGAGGTAAAAAATCGTTTACATTTTAGCTATATACAGTGTAATTGTTTGGCGTTACAACCTGTACAGAAGTATAAGAAGACGGAATTATCCAAAATCGTTTCGTGTTCGTCTAGAAATACATCGTTATTGATAAACAGAAATCACTCTCGTACGATACACTGTGTGTCGTATGTATTGATTCTTAGATTCGTATTTGACTTCCATATACAATTAAGACGAATCATCGCATAACAGCCGCTCAAACAGTTTAACTTATTGGAAATTGATTAAGTTCGCTCCGCCAATGATACGATTGTAGCGAGCGTCACAGTACAATGGAGTTCGGCTGAATTCGAGCGTCGAAGGCGGGCTGCAATTCATTGGAATCGAACTAATGTGAGAAACGGAGCGATTCCCAGTTCCGCCTCAAACGGAGGCCACGGGTGCTCGCTCAAACTGACGACTGTGTCTGATGCCAGACATACTAAACTGTCTGCTTAGTTCGAAACCGCGAACTCTGTTCGTCGCGGACGAGGCTCACTGCGATAGTATGGTAATCGGCGATGCTAAGAGCGCTTAAAATGAAACATTTTGAATCCTTAACGCAATCATTTCCTAAAACGAGACACGAGGTAAATTTTCATAACATTGTTACCGTTTCCATCTGGTAACTAGGAAATAATCTTCGATCACGATGAGTGTTATTTCGAGTCTAAGTCAATTTTGTACTATACTTAAAAAAGCAAATCGAAAAATGCCATTTATCGCTACAAAGCCGTTTTTTAAAACTTCCGAATCGCCACTGTAGCGGGCGTCGAGTAAATCAACATTGTATCTGGCCGTTTATTCAGCAAAGTCCACAATAATTTTCAGTAATGTGAATTTGATGTTGAATAATATTTTCATTCTGCTGGCGTGACTGCTTCGCTGCCCTCGCGTCGCTAATCGAAATCGATAACGTAATTGTCAGCTGTGACATTTGTTTCGAACGTTAATTAACACATATGTAATTAACAAAATAATGCCGTGGTATTGTGTTAGCGAATGTTAATATTCATTGAAGAATGCAAATGAGCTAAATCGCTTTAAGCTTTTTAGGCTGT